AAACAAAAACTCACAAGTGTTGATGTCAAGGAGAGCATCTCTAGATGCTTGAAAGGTAATGAATTGATTAAGGAATAATAAAAACTTGAAAATATAACATCTGCAAATTATTTAGATATTTCTAGAGCTAAATGCGTGGACATGGCAAGGAAAATATTTTTAGTACCAATAGGTGCATATGTGAAAATGTGGAACTTTTGTCAAGTTTATTCCTCACAAGTAAAAACCTTTTGTACCAAGCACACTAATATTGCCTTATCATCTAACCTTAACCAGAATGCCCCTTCATCTATTATTATTTCCCCAAATCCTATCTATGCTACTTATAATATTAGCCCCGAAGCTCAAATTGGCAATCAAATGGCTCCTTGTTCTCAATATAATCCTTCTTCCAACAGTGTAAACGTCTCCACTTTACTATCCATAATTTCCATTTCTATTTCTCCCTCTTATGCTGATGTGCCTCAGTCTAATTTGGAGGGTTTACTTTAGGGGGATATACAATATATATGATAAGTATTATGCCTCAGTTAGATTTGCCCAGCTTTTGGCCATTCTAATTATAGAGGGAGAGATTAATTATGTAGACGAATGTTTCTTTCATAAAGATTTTGATTTAAATGTTATTATGGTTGTCAAAGATGATTCCTCTCTAGTTGCCATTAAGAAAAAGAGGAAAAGTACATATTTTTTTAAAAAGAAGCTTGAATAACACTTCATCTGATGTTAGAATAAGTAGATCTAATATTGCTCCTAAACTAATTTCTTATGATTAGGCACTCTCTCCAAGTAAAGGTTCTGTAGTTGATTTTAGATCTACTGGTGATAGGTGTTTCTTTTTTTTTTTTTTAGATTTCAATTCATGTTTTTCACTCGAATATATCTTCAAGGAATGTTGTATTTAGTTGTATAAATATTAGAAAATTTTGTTGGACATCATTTCATGTGTTTGCTTATATGCTTGTTTGTTACCTCTTTTTACTATTATTGGCCGGTGTTATTTGATTACCTTTTGAACCTATTATGGTTTGGTGGCTTTTGTGGACTATGATTATATTTCTATATCTAATGTTTGGAAAGGTCATTTTTTTACTGTCAATTTTATTATTCTCTTGATTTGTGTTAGATAGTGTTTGTAATTATATATAAATTATGAGGTATGGTGGTGCGACATTATGGTGGCCTTGCTGGAATTGGTGGGTTGTTTGCCTTATGGCTATTTCTTGTGTGAGACATGGAAAGGTTTATTTTCTTCTAGTTTTATTCCTATTTTGGTGGCTATGTCTATGTATGGGAGATGGTCCTTATTTTGATTCTCTGTTGTTTGTAGCTGGATGTGTGGAACTGGCTTGGTAACTCTAGTGTTTTCCTAAAGATTAGTCCTATTTGGTTTTTTTTTTTTACTTCTTTGTTTATTTTTCTTTTTCCCGATTATTTAGTTTAATCTCCAGCTTAGATTCTCTAATTTGCACTCTCTCCAAGAAGAATATGAAAAACAAGGGATTAATTGGAGAATCTAAGTTTCTTTGTAAGAGTTTTTCATGTTCTTCTTGGATTTCAAATTTAGCTTTCATGTCCTACGATTGCTTCTTCCTTGTGATGGTCCTGCTATTATGTGGTGATCAATTTTGTCAGCTATGGAATTCACCTCTAAGTCTTTCTTTGGTTTACTCATTTTTTATATGCTCTGATGATCTAGTTCTCTTTGTGGTTCTTCTGGTTTTTTTTAGGTTCCTTTTGGTGGATCCTTATGGGTCTTTTAATCTATCTATGCTTGGGCTTATTTTTGGATTTAGCTTATTGACTCATTGTTTCTCTTTTATTATGTAATTAGTTTGGGGACCTATGCTCTATTGTTTTTTTTATTGTAGCTCTGGGAGAATTAGCAAGCTTTAGTTTTCTACTAAGGACCTTGTAATATTTCTTTGGATGATATAAAACTTGTTCTCATCAATGGGCTTTATCAAAAAAATAATAAAACAAAAAACTTGTTATACCAAACAAACTGACTGAGTAAAGATTAGGTTAGGATCATGAATTACCAGAGTTGTAAGAAACTAAATATAGGTGCAAATTAGAACTCTTTTTAATAGACATTATAAAAAATTATTGAAATAAAGTTTTAGTACAAATCAAATAAAATAAAAGATATGAGATGAAACAAAATGTCAAAAAATATACTACTAATTAGGTCATAAAAGTGAAGTCAAACAAGAAATTTTATAGTCAACTAAATAATTAGAAGAATATATGAAATCTTACATAAAGCTTCATAAATTAGCAATCAACATAAGAACTAACCAACCACAATGTGAATTTTAGAAGAAAACTTGATAAGTCATAAAAAAGGCCTCCCTCCCATTTTGAGTTCTTATAAGTATAGAATTCTTGCAAAATTAAGTATGTAAAAAGTGATAGTTTAATTAACATGCTTTCTTATTACCTCTTCCTTTTTCTCAATAGATATAAATCAAGTTCCTTTTCTCAATGGAATGGACCCTTGAAGGGTAGGCTTATGAAAACCATCAAATTTAAATAATTTTCTCCTACTAGTAATGTTAACATGTAACATCAAATTAAGAGACATGAGATTCAAAAATATGATCTTATAAGAATCTTAGAAATTAGTTGAATCTCATTCTCAGTAATAGGAGTAGGGGATTTAAGTGGAGAGCATAAGGATCCCTGGAAACCGCAAGTAAATTATCTTTGTTTCTTTATCCTTTAAAGAAATACAATATGCCAATTCACAATAGGTGGGGTGTCATAAGGAGTAGGATCTAGCTGGGATATGTTTTAACTCTCTAGGTCAATCCACCAATTCTAAGCTGGAATTTAGGGGAGGGTTATCTTCCATATTATTAGGTGAGGTGTCTTCTACAAATTAGAAGTTATTATTCTTTAAATTATGCTTAGTAATTAAATATTGATTCACTTATAGCATGTTAGAATTGTGTGTGTGTGGGGGGGATGCATATGAAAACCACGAAAACAAAAAACAAAAAAAAAAAAGTATCAAATTTTGCTTTTTGAAGGTAACTATTGTGTTTTAAACATATTTACACTTCATTGTCAAACTCACATGAAATGTCAATTTTCAAAAGAATCATAGATGGTGGAGAAAGAAAAGTGGCGCTTACTCTATTTTTGATAGTCACCTACATATTGAAGCAGTGAAGAAAATGATATTTTAGTTCATAATATGAAATTTTAAACGAGAAAAATCAAACAAATAGAAACAAGAAGAGGCTCTTATCAATATCAAAATAAGCTTTCAATTTAATGTTTCTCATAAAAAATTTACTAATATAAAAAAAAAAATCTTTTGAAAAAATAGTGGTTTTATTTTTTATGTAAACTAGGAGTACATCTTTTTCACTAAGCAAAAAATAAAAAATAGGGGAAACTTATTTCAAAATATAATAAGAAAAAGAAAATGAAAGAAATTAAAAAAACTGAGTTTGGGGACATCTAATAGTATTTGTATGAGAAGCAATGTCCCCTAATGCTATGGGTAGTAAACTGCATATTTCATATGTATCTTAAATAATTAAGCATAACTCTTACTCAAGTTAGATATATAAGAAATCTATGTATGTAATATTTTTATTGGAAAAAAAATATTTTAGCTCCTAATAGAGTTACCATCAAGAAAGGGCTTATTGAGGAGCATGTCTTTGATATTATATAATCATATAATTCTTTATTGTGGTGTGAATATTAAAATGGTCATGCAATTTTCATTTATATTTTATGTATTTGAAATTTAGTTTTTACTTATGAGTCAAATGTCTAACCCAAACGGCCTTAGTCAATGTCTCGATGCATCGATTTCACCTGATGTGACTATGATAAATCTTTTCATATTGAGGTTTTGTTTAGAACAACTTTGTTATTACTTTTTAAAGTAGCTTTTTCGTACAAAAATTTTTAGTTCTAAATTTTTTTGTACTAACAAGTCGCTTTATAAAGCAATAGGAAAGCTTTCCCAAACGAAGCCTGAATATAGATTTAATGTTTCTATTTAATCTTGTGAACACATCTTTTATCTATAATTAGTATTTTGTCACCTTATATTAATATCAATTTTGGACTTACCTAATATAAAAATTTGAGATTGATTGTTATCCTTTAAACAAAATATGTCAATAGACAAAAAAATAGAATGGCAAGAAAGCCCTTATAAAATATGCAGTAGAGGATGAACAATAGCTCCAATCATGAAAGATATAATCAAAAGCCAACCTATTTGCAATCATGCATTATTGGAATGAAATGATAACTTTACTAGATTTCAACAAATTCTGCTTATTCATGGCTATTTCTTGTCCTAGCTATCAATATTGCATGAAATAGAAGGCAAATTGAGAGAAACATGAAAATTTAAGCATAACTTGTGATGAATCAAGAACAAGAAAATAATATAACACCATTAGAAAAAATAGACAACATATCAAACACAAGTGCCCATCAACTGTTTAACAACTACTTCTATTCTTTTGTTAAATCAAGTTAAAATAGCACATGCAAACATAATCTAAAACTAAAGAAAAATAAAGTCATCCACTTATAAAATAAAACTGGCAGTGAACAGCAAGAAACCAATCAAAGTACATTAAAAAGGAAACCTACAGGAAGTAAAAGCAAAAACCGACACAGTATGAACCATCTCTTACGACCCAAATCTATTCTTTTGATAGAGCATATTAAACTAGGACAAGAAAACATAAAATAACACAGAAGAGAAAGGCATCTACTTAAAAAAAAACTGAGAATGAACAGCAATATATATACTAAACAAAAAGAGAACCTACAGAGAAACTAAAAGCACCGACAAATTCTCAACTCTATCATTATCTCACCACTAAAAGAAATGAATATATGCAGATCACATAAAAAACATAAAATTAATCCACAGTACATAAGTTCTCCATCCCAGCATAATTACCACTACAGTTCGAAAATATCAAAGCTTAGTTATAAGAAGCAAGTATGCCTACCATTAATTTAGGGCAGCTTCTGCTGCTGCGGCGGCGGCGGCGGTTGTTTGCGACGTTTCTTCTTGTCGTAGCTAATGCCCCTCGCCTTCGACTGCATCTCGCGCACTTCTCGGAGGTAAAGCCGAACAGCACGGGCGCCGAAGGGGTTCGACTCTGGGCGGCCACTGTTCTCTTCGAAGGCTGCACGGAGGCGGCCGATGAGGGCGTCAAGGCTGCCCCAAGCTTGGCGGAGAGGGCAAGGACATGGAGAGGGGGGGTTGGGATGGCCGAAGAAAGGGCAGGAGGTGTTGTGGAATTTGGTTTTGCCGAACTGGTCTAAATAGCGGAGGAACTCGAGGACGTTAGCGCCACTGCAGCGGGGGAGAGGGAGAGGAGGACGGTGATTTTTTAAGTATTGAGTGAAGGTGTTCCAGTCCCGACGTTTTTGGGCTTCGTAGCGGCTGGGGGAAGGGGGGATTGGAGGGGAAGAGGAGCTGCTGGCGGTGAGGGTGAAGGGGTTTTGTGTGGTGTGGTTGTCTGGGATTGGTGTTGTTTCCATGGGGGAAAGGAGGGTTGGCTTGTAGATTTAGGAACTTACTGTAATAAATATATATATCTAGATATGAGGAAGCAATAGCCTGAAAGGGAGACAGATGTGATTATATAGTTAGTGATCTGATTAAGGTTTTTATAGGCAAGTGTGTGTGTGTGAGAGGGAGTGAGACAGATAAAGAATTTGTTCTTAAATAAAAAGATAATTTTTTATATTATAAGATTTGTTTTTTTTTCCTACAATTTTTGTATTATCTTGAAGAAGATGTCTCATATTTCAGTGAAAAAACCTTTAGTATATTATGGTTTCTTTTATATTCTTAATCAAAATCAAGTCGGATTGATTTCTTCTAAGCTTTTTTTTTTCAAAAAGGAGATGAAGATGGCCTATATCGTTTGAGGATAAGAAAGTAATGGGAGGTACTGTATCTGATAGAAATCAATTGAAATAGAATGACTAATATAAGTTTGAAAAAAAAAATTCGGAAACTTTTCTAAGATCAAATTATATTTCTTTTCATTTCAAAATAATTTTATGACTATATATAAATTCATTGAAAATTTTTCATTTTATGAAAAATTTTGTTTAAATCTGAGAAAAAATTTTCCATAAAGAAATTTCAGGTCTTTTATCAGATAATATTGTCAATAATCTTTCAATTTCTTCAGAAAAACAACAGCTAGAGAACTGTAAGGAAATTTTAGGTCTGATATCCTGTAGGAAATTTCTTATTCTAGTTTCTATTAAAATTTTTATATCATCACTATAATTGCATCTTAAGATTTAGGTTCTAATTCTCCCAAAAAAAAAGATTTAGGTTCTCTTGAATATTCCTCTATCAATAACAAATAATTGAGATTTATAAACATATAACTTAATAATAAGAAAGTACTTTTTTGGGCAAATTAAACAATAACAAAAATTAAAAAACTTCGTAAGAACTATTTATTTCTCTGTGTATGTTGAGAGGGAGAGAGAAAGATAGAGAGTGAAAGAGAGAGAAAAAGCACCTGGCCTGCTTTATTGTCAGATGAGAAGAAGACTTAAGTTAGGGAAGTGATGCTTGAGACCAGAGGCCAGAAGAGGAGATCCATGGAGCGATCAAATTCAGGAGCTGACGGGTTGTTCGGGGTTGCTTGGCCAGAAATAAGAAATAAAAGATTGAAGATGGTTGGCTGGGACTGAAACTTTAGCTGACATGCATCTAATGGTCGAAAGGGAAGCTTGCTGTTCCCAAGGAGAAACCACAACCTGTTTTTGGTGTGTACAAAGCCAAAGAAGATGGTGACAGAAAAGACTGGAGTGGTCATCAGAATGCATCAGTGCGTGTGATGGCTCAGTGGAAAAAACTCAACAAACCATTGGTGTAAATAAGTGCTTGGCATCCTCTCAGTTTACTGAAATTCCCATCTTTTCTGATTTTTTTCCACTTTCGCGTCGAGCATCTCACTTTGTCTCTCACCACTCTCTCTCTCTTCTCATCTCTCTCTCCCTCTTTTTCTCTCTCTTTTTCAGTTTTGAACCACCAGTAATCCGTATGCAATATTGTTCGTCCTAATTTATTAAATATGTGTACTGTAACGTTATATATTGTATATTGGACAAAATGGTTTGCACTTGAGCTTCTAAAAAGGCCATTATAATCGACAGAAGGACAGTATAGATGCAAGTGATTTTGGATATAGTGCTCGTGACTACGCTCAGGGAAGGCTGATTAATAACACGCATAATTATTTGACTTCTTGGTTTAAAGCAAAATTTATTTCTTCTTGGAAAATTGCCCCTGCCTCTGCTTCTCCCTTAGTTGTAGCCTACATTTTGTTACTGCCGCTAGTTTTAGTTGCTGTTTTTCTTCTTCCTTACAGGTTCTTGTAATTGTAATTGTTTTTTATTTCTGTTATTAATTCATGGGCCTTTTTGCCCCGGGTTTACCCAAAAAAAAAAAAGGCTGATTAATGGAACTAGCCTAAACTCACCATGTGGCAGAGGTAGCGGAGCCTGAGTCCATAGCTAATGGATGGATCTACCCAAAATTCACCCGCACAAAACGATATGGGGCCGAAGTTTTTGATTTTGCACTTACACATCAAGAAGCTATAGAGTAACCTAACTTGATGACAGGAACATTATACCTTTGTGACAGACCTGAGTTTATATTATTTGAATTTGGTGCAACTCATTCATTATAATCAAGTTTAAATGTCGTAAGGATTACGTCACATCTATTTAGTATAAGTTTGTCCATTCTGTTCTGTACTGGCCTCGATAAGGGCCGTGAGCTAGTTCTTCCAACTAAACTGCCTCAGTAATTTATATCAGTTTGTTTGAAGCCGCATCCATTAGATAAAGAGCTAAAGCTTCAACTACACATCGATGAAACATTTCATGTCTGTCGAATGATGTTGCTCGTTCCATTAGGGTTTCTCCCTAGCCGCCTACACCAATTTTTGATCTGATCGCTCGCCTCGATTTGATCATGTTCCTCGTCTGCTAGTGTTCGGGTTATCCTCGTCTGAGTCGTAATCCATGTCCACATGCCTCTGTATTTCTCTCAGCTCCCTGCTTCCGTTTGACATTCCCTACATCGCACCTTCAGAAAGTTTTTTTTTTGGTTAAAACCCACGGTGGGGCCTACTCTTTGATATCGAAAAGACGGTTACAAAAATCCTTAGAAAGATCCTCCAGCTTGTTAATGCTCGAAAGAGCTACAATGAGAAAGTAAAAGAAAACCTAAGAGCCAGTGGTTCCTTATCCTAAGATTACAAAAAGAACATAAATAAAAACTCGGGCTGTGAAGATACAGCACCCAAAAATGAAAGATCAGATGTATCTCGTTCAGCACAGTCTTCCTGCAAAATTGATGATAAAAGTAGAAAAGCAAATTAAAAATCCAAACTACTAGTACCTTGGAGTCGTTGATGTTCCAAAAAATTAAAGAAGAAATTCCCCTGCAAAGAACTCTCAAAAAAGATATATTAGAAAGATAGAAAATAAAACATGATAATAACTCAGTTACATAGAAGAGATACCAATTGAAAGTATAACCCATAAATAGCTCCAGCATATTCCAGCCACACCAAATCATAATCAGATACTGCCTCTTCCACAAATCCTTTAAATCAAACCACTCAGATCTAATAAAAAAGTTACACTTACAAAAGTAATTAACCCAGTAACAGTGCAGCCTCCAGCACGTCACAAAATTGCTGAAGGAGTTAATCAAAGTCAAATACAGGCAGAAGAACGAAAACCCCCACAAAATCAACCTGCTCCAGCAAAACACCTGCAACTTCCTAAAATGATAGCAACCATTAGTATTAAAATAGGACATAAATAGCCTCCCTCTCTGCCAAATACACACCCACAGTGAATTAAAAGACAAAAACTAGTAGAGTAAATACAATGCGCCAGCAACGAAGTGGCCAAAAAACTCCTGCACCAGCCTAAGGAAATCACAAAAACCCAGCTCACAGACCACAAACCAAACCAACAAAAATCAAAATATAGAGCTAGATATGGCAAATGTAAGGTAAACCAATTTTATCAAGATTAATCATCTTTTTAAGAGGTACAGGCAGCTCAAGCACAGGATGCTCCAGCAAAATCTCATTTTGAGACCCAAAATTTGCAAGCTAATCTGCACAAGCATTACCTTCGCGATAAATATGAGAAATAGTAAAATTGAGCAAAGAGAGAGCCATTTTAATTTTCCTAATAGTGTAAAAATTTTGGGGGAAGCAAACATCTTTCTCGGTAATAATTGAATAACAAGAGTGGAATCAACCTCAATATTCACATTATGTAAACCCATTTTAAGCATAATTGTAAACCATGATCCAAAGCCATTAATTCAGAAGTCAAAATAGAGCAAGAAGACAGAGATCCAAAAAAAGCCGCAATGGGGTTACCAAGATGATTCCTTATAATGCCACCCATACCAGCTTTATTAATCTTAACAGAACCGTCAGTATTCAATTTAACAAAGGGTTCGATGGGTTTAGACCACTTCACCATACAATCCCTATTGCTTCTAATAATACTATTATGAATCCCAAAATGATCCGCCAGAAGTTTGCTGTTATGAAAGTTTTTAAAAGAAATAAGATTCACAGCAATCAGCTGTAAAATTTTGTACCTAATATTGGATATAATAAGATTAGCATTCATCTTAATACCCAAATATTTGGACTCATTTCTACCTTTCCGAAGATACCAAATAATGAAAATATGAAGTAAATTATGAATATAACCTTTGCTTTCAGTAAACCAAATCTTTAATATACCGGCCAAGTCATAATCATCATTGAAAGCACCAATATTCGCTAAATTAAGGAAATGAGACCAAACATTACTAGCAATAGACCCATTGACAAACACATGTTGATAGCTCTGAATGTTGAAACAACATTGACATTTTGAAACAATACTAAAACTTTTTTTCCAAAAAATGTTATCAATAGGCAAAAAGTTTTTCAGACACCTCCAAGAAAGCAAGGAATAGGATAATGGAATAGTATTATGCTAAAGAGAATTAAAGATCGTAGAAATATCACCTTTCAATCTAAACTCCTCCCAAACATCCTTTAAGTTAAAATTACCAGAATAAGAGAAATTAAAGATGATTTTATCCTTGACATACAAATTTAAAGGGATTTGAATGATTTTCTCAATGATAACATTCGGAATCACCTCCTGAAGCTTAGCAATGTTCCACTCCCCATTATATAAAAAATGATTAACCTTAGTATTAACAATAGTATTAGTGTTAAGGTAATGGTCAATAGAACTAGCGCCCAACCAATTATCCTACCAAAAACCAACCTCCCCAATACCAATGCCCCATTGGATGAACTTCTCAACATCCCATTTAATTTTACACAATTTTTTTCCAAACCTTAGAATCCGAGCTTTTATAGTGACAAACCAAAGGGTTAATATTCTTACAATACTTAGCATTCATGAATTTAGCCCATAAACTATTATTAGATCTAAAAGCATACCAAAGTTTGTGAGAAAACGCATGAGAAGTATCAAAAATAGACTTACAACAGCGACCCTTCCTTAAAAACACCACAAACTTTTCTCCAAGAAGCCCAATTGATACAAGCTTTATTATCAGTGGCACCCCAAAAGAATTTATTAGTCATCTTCTCCATCCTCAAACAAACACCAGACGGAGGTTGCAAAGTATGAAACAAAAAAATAGAAATAGAGTTAAGAACACTTTTGATTAATGTCAATCTACCACCAAAAAAAAGAAAATTAGAAGACCAATTTAAAAACTTTTTTTGGAAAGTAGTAAAGATATTATCAAATAGAAATTTTTTTTTCCTACCTTTAAAAAAGGGAGCCCCAAGATACTTAATAGGAAGAGAAGACTGGTTAAAGCCACAAACTCTTTTAATGTCATTAATTCTATTATGATTCATATATAAAAGATCCAGTAATAAAGTTGCTCTTATCTCTATTGATAGACAGCCCACTAATCATCTGAAAAAAAGATAAAAATCTAGCAAGACACTTGACATTTTTAATAGAGACATTGAAAAAAAATGATAAAATTATCAGCAAAACTAAGATGAGTAATAGGAATTCCACCAATAGTACGAAAATTAAGCATAGGCATCCTATTATAAAGATTATCAATCCCTCTAGAGATCGAGATACTCCATAGCTAAAATAAAAAGAGAAGGGGATAGAGGATCCCCTTGTCTCAAACCGTGCTTAGAAGGAAAAAAATCATGATTATTACCATTGATAATAAGAGAAAAAAAATAATTCTCAATATTTTTCTTGATGAGCATCAGAAAAAAATCATTAAACCCCATCAAATTTAAAACATTGTAGGAAGTCCCACTTCAAATTATCATAAGCTTTGGTGATGTCAAGTTTGAACAAAATATTGCCACCAGTAACTTTAGCATTAAGATCATGGACCATCTCTTTAGTCAATAAAATGTTATCAAAAATACTACGACCTTTAACAAGAACTTTTATTACGTCCGGTGTAAGGACGTAGAGGAACGTCCGGTTGGAGGCAAAATCCCACCAAAAAATTCGGTATTTGCTTGGTACAACAAGGTATTATTTGATATTAACCAAAAATACTGCTCTTTGAA